TGACAAAATAATCTAAACTGAAGTGCACAAAAACACTTGTCTCAGCTGTTTCAGTCGCACAGTCTTCTGCATGATAAGGCATGTTTTTGCGTTGGAAACAACTTCCCAGTTCACCTAATCCAACCACGTCCGTGTGTACAGGAAGACACTGAGGCTTAGAGCCTGAGTGACTTTCCCATGGTGATAGCACAGCTCTGTTTCACGCTGTTTTTCTGTATGTGACCTAGAATTTATTAAACAGAACCCGGGACAGGCAGTCTCGGGCCAACTGGTCATCGTCACGAGAGCAGTGGTCACATCTAATGGAGTTCTGTGCCTTTGGGAACAATGATATGAACCCAGTCAAATGATAGTTGGCATTACCGTTGGCAAAGAAGAGAAGGTTTGCAGTTCTTTTAGGGGTACTTAAAAATGCATATAGTTGCCTGAAACTTTAAAACAATTTTTTTTTTTACATTTACATTTTTTCTAGCTCAGAATCTTCACAATTTGGTCAAACTGAGCATTCTTGATTTATCGGAGAATTACCTGGAGAAGGACGGAAACGAGGCTCTACAGGAACTGAGTAAGAATGGCAACTCCCCCTACAGCACATATTTGAGTATGGATAGCGGGTAGTTAGAAGAACCGCCCCAGCGCGGGTCTCTTGCAGCTCTGTGTGCCTTACTAGATGCACCTGGAAAAAGAAAAGCTTTAGGCACTTTCTCAAAGGGCCCTTATCCTTAATGCCCAGGTCTTCTGAGTCACCAGTTTGCATATGTGCATCGAATTCCTCCTTCAAGGAAGCTTGTGACTGATGTTAGAGGCAAATTTGCTTCAGGAATTAGTGATAAGACCTTTAAGTGTGACAGTGATATATGATTAAAACAAAAAATAAGTCAGGCATGGTGGCACACGCCTGTAATCCCAGTACTTGGTAGGCTGAGGCAGGAGGATTGTTGCGAGTTTGAGACCGGCCTGGGCCACAACGTGAGCTCAAGGCCAGCCTGACCTTCGTAGTGAGAGCCTGTCTCAAAAAGACAAGACAAAACAAAAAACCAAACCAAACAAACAAATAAAACACAAAAGATAGAAGAACTGATACCTATGTTTTAGATTTGCTTCAGAATAATACAAGAGGAATTGGGTCAGTGTTAAGTGAGCTTGCCCACGACTTGCTCTTTGCTGAAAGTGGGGTTATCATTACATGCGCTGTAGTTTTATTACTCCGTTCTGCATAATGCTGATGTGTGTTGGGGGAGTGCCCATAAAACAGCAAAACACTCTCAGTACAAACTGACTAGGCTGCAGAGCCGTCAAACATAAAGAGCCTTTCTTCCCCAAACCCCTTCATCCTTCATCCACTTTGAGACAACCTATTTCCTGAACTGCTCTTTGTGTCCTCAAGTTGGCAGGCTTGGCGTCCTGGAACACCTCACTGTGCTGATGCTGCCTTGGTGCTTGGGTGTGCAAGGCAGCCTGACCAGCCTGTTGGAGCAGCTGGAGGGGGTCCCACAACTTGTCAAGCTTGGCTTGAAAAACTGGAGACTCACAGACGCAGAGATTAGAATTTTAGGTAGGTACACACAGAGCCAAGACAACAGAGGTTGGCCCTAAAACTTCTTTTTTTTTTTTGTCTTTTTTGAGACAGCATCTCACTATGCAGTTCAGGCTGGCGTTGAGCTCACTTTGTAGCCCAGGCTGGTTGGTCTCAAACTCGCAACGATCCTCCTGCCTCAGCCTCCGGAGTACTGGGATTGCAGGCGTGTGCAACCACGCTGGGCTCCTACAGCTGTTCTTAAACTGGCTTTATTTATTTTGTCCCTTTTCCTTGTTTCTTCTTTTAAGAGTACATTTAAAGATAATTAACACATAATAACGAGTAAGAATATTTTAAACATTGACCCTTTACAAACTTAAAGAAAAATCATTCATGGTATCTGACAAAGAATATTATATTATTGTTAATCCCAGCCATAACTCTATGAATTTCAACAATGCCCCTCCAATCACAGGAAGAAAATTTTAAGTCAAGTTATTGGGTGTTCAAAATAAGCAAAGGTGAATGCAGCTGTGTCTAAATGGACTCAATATCTTTAAGCAGTGGTGATATAATGCATAAACCAATTCATCAATCTAAATGACTGAAGACACCTCCAACCACAAATAGCTGATGAAAGGTTTTGGCATTGGCTTTAGTGTCGTTAACAATTTATCTGTAATAAATCATCTCAAAACATGATGCTCTAGGCTGGGCATCATGGTGCACGCCTGTAATCCCAGCACTTGGGAGGCTGAGGCAGGAGGATTTTTGTGAGTTCAAGACCAGCCTGGGCTACAAAGTGACCTCAAGGCCAGCCTGAACTGCATAGCGAGACCCTGTCTCAAAAAGACAAAAACAAAAACAAAAACAAAAACATAATGATCTAGCTGGGGCTGGTGGTGCAAGCTTGTAATCTCAGCAGTTGGGAGGCTGAGGCAAGAGGATCGCCATGAGTTCAAGGACAGCCTGGGCTACATAAGTAAGCTCAAGGCCAGCCTGACCTGCATAGTGAGACCCTGTCTCAAAAAAAGGACAACAAACAAACAAACATAATGGTCTAAAGCAATAATCATTATCTCACAGTTTCTGTGGGTCAGGAATCTGGGAGTAGGTGAGCCGGGTGATTTTTCCTCAGCTTCTTCATGTAACTGCAGGCTGGAGGATGGCAGGGGCTGCTAGAGGATCAGCTTCTGAGACGGCTCCTCACACCACTAGCAGTTAAGGTGGGATGCTGGCTGCAGGCCTCCGTTCCTTAGCACGATACCTCTCAATGGGCTGTCTGTGTCCTTACAACATGGCAGCTAATTTCCTCCAGGGGATAGGATCCAAGAAAAACTAGTTAAGAGCTACAGTGCTTTTTATGACCTAGCCTTGGGAGGTCGGCACTAGTCATTTCCTTTATGTCCTGTTAGTTACACAGGTGAACCCTATCCAGTGTGGGAGGGGACAATACAGGGATATGAAACATGGGGAGGTTAAAGTGACTGGGACCATCCTGCAGGATATCACTACCTGAGACAAAGGATTGGTGAAAGGCCTCGGCTGCCTTCATTTCCCTTACGATTGTGTAGAATGTGTTTAGTTCACGTAACATAAAATTTACCATCTTAACCATTTCAAGTGCATGGTTCCACGGCCCATTTTCACATTATTGTGCAACATCACCACCATTCACCTCCAGAAGCTGTCATCTTCCTTATCTGAATTTCTGTTCCCATTAAGCATTAATTCCTATCTGCCTCTCCTTTCCAACCTTCTCTCTTGGAAATGCTTACTGCTAATCCTTAGGCTGTCCAATGGTGCTTCAAGACCTGACTCTTTCTTTCTCTTAATTCCCAACTGCACTTCCCACTCCCTAGTCACTCCTCTTACCTATCAAATCATACCATCCTGGGTGCCTTCATTACTTTTCTTGTTGCTGAGACAAAATACCCAACACCCAAAGTTAAAGGAGCAAAGGTTTACTTTAGCTCACAGTTTGTAGAGGTTTCAGTCCATAGTCAGCTGGCTCCAAGGCAGGGTAGCACATGGCAGAGGAGAAACAGTCCATGGCAGGGCAGGCAGGCAGCAGCAGCAAGCAGCAAAGCAGCGAGCCTCCCTTTCCCTTTTGTCCCATCCAGGCTACCAGCCTTTTGGTTGGTGCCACCCATTGGGCTTGTCCACACCCAGAACTATGCTAAACCAATCACCAGACCAATTTAGTTATTACACACCTTTAATCACTCCCATAATCCACCTTGACCTACCCTCGATCTGGCCATCTCCAAAAAGCCCCATCTCTGCAATGGACTTTGTGGGAGAGACATCTACATACAAGCCCTAACACTGGGTGACATTCTTTCAGACCCTTCCTCTATTCTTAGTGATACTGGAGGCAGGCAGGTCTGTCACAGACTGATTAGCTAGCTATAATCCCTCTCAGGTAATCTCCTATCTTTTTTTTTGTTTTTTTTTTTCCGGTACCAGAAATCGAACTCACGACCTTGCGCTTGCCAGGCAGGTGCTTTGCCACTGAGCTAAATCCCCAGTCCTGTAATCTCATATCTTAAGTGAGTTGAAAAGGATGTGAATTTTCAGAGTCCCTTGACAGTGTCTAGATTTAGAGTTCCTGTTGGGGAGGCACTTTTAGGCAGGGGTCTTTTAGCATCTTTCAAATCTATAAGTAGACAGCTGCTTACTTCTCCCACCCATGAAGCTAGCCATTGCGACTAGGAAAGGACATGTGGTATTTAATGAAATAAGAGCTGAGCCAGGTGTGGTGGCACATGCCTATAATCCCAGCACTCAGGAAGCTGAGGCAGGAGGATCACAGCAAGTTCAAGGCCAGCTTGAATTACATAGCAAGACCCTATCTTGCTATGTAAAAAATATGTGAAAAATAAAAGACAATGAGAGAGAAAGAGAGAGAGAGAGAGAGACTGGCAGTAACTCACTATTTGACTTTACTTTCCTAGTGTCTTGTAAGTCCCCATTTGAGAAAAAGAAAAATAAACAGACATTATCTGACTCCTGAAAACTGAGCTGCAATGACCCACTCTAGAATATGTTAAAAATGAGTGAAAGCTAACAACTCTTAGTACTAATTAATTTATTCTCAAATATTAAAAAATCTATAGAATTATTATTATACTCCTATAAAAGATATTATTATCCCTGGTTTACAAAGAGGCTGGAGCTGGGCATGGTGGCGCACGCCTGTAATCCCAGCACTAGGGAGGCTGAGGCAGAAGGATCACCATGAGTTCGAGGCCAGCCTGGGCTACATAGTGAGTTCAAGGCCAGTTCAACAGCGAAGTGACACCCTGACTGAAAACAATAACAAAAAACCAAAGGGGCTTGAACATCAAAAGGTCGTCAGACTACAGCAGGGACAAGGGTTGGAGATAAAAGAGGAAGAGTTGGGGAAAGACAAGAGAATGTGCTGGTGCTGACACTGCTCCCCTCAGCCAAGTCCTCCCCCTCCCAGAGGTAAACAGTTATCTGCTGGGCTTGAGGCAGATGCTGAACAGTGAGAGACAAGGGCTCGGACTGCAGTCTGTGAGGTTCTGGGAACGCTGCCTGTCCACCCCTTCCACCCCTGCATGTTGAAGTCGCCAGGTGCATTGATTCTGCAGACAGACAGACCTGCTTGGTGGAAGACCTACAGCAACTTAAAGTCTGAGCCTAAGCACCAAAAAGTGGGGAGGGGGCAGACCTCTGGGGGCTGGGTTTGAAAGAAAAAAAGACTCCCCCCCAAATGAGCCGTCTTCATATGTTGTAAGAGGCTGTACTACTGAGCTATGCCTTCAGACTCTTTGAACGTTTTTTATTTTGAGCCAGGGTCTCACTAAGTTGCCTAGGCTTGAATTTATGATTCTTCTGCTTCAGGGTTCCCACACCTAGACTGAGCTCCCTTCAAGATATGAAACTCAGACATCCTATTCCCAAACAGTAATCTCCTCTCCTCCATTACACCTACTCCTAATCATCAGTCCTTTCACTTCACTCCCAGTCCATTCATCCCACTGCTTCTGTTGATTGCCTCGCTATCGCCTTTCGATTCCAACCTCCATCCTTGAAAACATTCTCATCCCCAGGGACTGACGCTCACCTAGCCTAAAGTATTGCAAGTCAATTTAGGCAATGAGGATTAGAGGAGGACAAGTGTGTGTGATGTAGCAATCAAATGAAGGGTGTCATGAGAAATGGAGTCTCTAATTAAAGAACAATGGTTCTTTGCCCCGCCCCCCCCATACTGGGAATCGAACTCACGAACTTGCGCTTGCCAGGCAGGCGCTGTGCTGCTGAGCTAAATCCCCAGCCCCGAGTCTCTAATTAAAGAAAGACCTCATAATGAGATGCAGGGTGACAGATCTGAGGTAGGAGGCATAGAAGAAACTGCAGTGGACGGGGTGTGCTTTTGGGGGGTGCTTTCCTGGCAAAACGTGAAGCCTGGGCACTCTTACTTGTTGCCCTTTTTTCTACCTGCACGTAGGTGACCCGGGGTGGGGATCACACAGTTTGTCTGAAACGTTGTTATGTTACAAGTTCGTACTGGCAAACCTTGACAAAAATGTTTAGAACCCAGACTATGAAAATACTATATATCAAAACTTGTGGCATGCGGCAAAAGCAGGGACTGAAAGCAATTCTCATAGCTTTAAATTTTTATGCAAAAAGAAGGCTGAAAATTAATGTTTCTAATTTAAGAAGCCATAAAAAGAACTGAATACACCTAAGAGTATAACAATAATAAACGTAACAGTATAAACCAGCTGGGTGTGGTGTGTATATGCCTGTAATCCCAGTTCCCCCGGCGGTTGCGGCGGAGGGTCACAAATTTGAAGCCAGCCTCGGCAACTCAGTGGGATCACCTCAAAAAATTCAAAAACAAAAAAAGCAAAAAGGGCTGGGTATTTGGCTCAGCCAGAGAACCTGGTTCAGTCCCAGTACTGAAAAGAATAGCACCTTATTTTTGTTGAGTTGTTGCAGTGGTTTTTTAAGGTCTCTGAAAAAAAGATTTTTGAGTTTTTGTTTGCTTTTTTTTTGAAGACAGGGTCTCACTATGCATTTCAGGCTGGATTTGAACTATGTAACCCAGGGCGGACTGGAACTCAGAGCGAGCCTCCTGCCTCAGCCTCCCAAGTGCTGGATTATTGGCACCTACCATCACGGCTGGCTTTCTTGTTTCCTATATTACCTCATGGGGATGGTTTGAATGTGTCCCCAAAAGCATGTGTTGGAAACACAGTCCTGAGTACAAGTGTTGGGAGGGGAAGTGCAGCTGGGAGTTGTTTTAGGTCCTGAGGGGCTCCAGCTCCTGTATGGATTCAGGCCAACTCTTGAAGGGCTGGCAGCTGTTTCAGCTCCTTTGTTCTCTGAGCCTCTTTTTGCTCTTCTGCAATGGTTGTGACACAATCAGAGACCCTTGCCACAGAGTATCCTCTCAAAACAGATAGAGACACCTCATTTTTTGGGGGGAGGGATTCTTTTTCAGTGTTGGCTGTCAAACGCAGCCCAGGCGTCCCTTTTTTTGGGTGCTCAGTCTCAGGCGTCTTTGCTGGAGGCTGCTCGCAGACGGCTGGTCACCCTGTACTATTTCCTCAAGGTTCGCAGGGAGGCACAGTCGATAGGAAGCTGTGTGTCTGAGAGAAAGGGTGACTCTCTGATGGGTTAGCTTCACCGTGGGGTGATCAGATGAGCAAAATAACTTCCTTTGTAGGGCCTTTGCTTGGAGGCAGTTCAGTTTCTCCCGAGAAGAATCCTCACCTTCCCTGCAGCATCTTACGTCCAACTACCAGTGTTCTGAGAAGGAGCAGAGTTAGAGCGCCTACTGCTTTGTGTTCGCAGTGCACCCTGAGCTGCTGCAGCATCCTGTGGGCTCCGTGTATGGCTTCGCGCTATATTGTGAGCCACGGAGACAGGGACCTCTTTGCTGAATGAATAGAAGCTGCGTAGGAACTCTGGTGCCGGTTCAGGTGAACTGCAGGGCAATGCTGTATTAGAGTTTTCTTTAGAATACCAGAAGCTTCAGAAGTTCACACGGGGCACTTGAGATTTTGCCTGCGACTTGAATGAAACCCTTTGCGCTCTCCACAGTCCGTGTACGGCCAACAGCTCCCCGCGCCATAGTTCTGTTCCTCGCAGATCCAGTTTTCTTGTGAGGATGAAAGCACTGCAGATTCAGTGAACGAAGACTTCCCTTGGATTATGGAGAGCATCGCTTGCTCTTGGTTCCCGTGCTTACACACATCACCCGAGGCTAACTTTAGATCCTTACACCGCGACAGGGAGCCAGTGTAAACAGCTCCCCTCCTGAGGGCTGAATGGGCTTTGCGTTCTTCACATTCTTGCTGGGTGGTGAAAGCTGCTCTGCTAGCTGAGGAGAAAGGAGGGTGCTCCTTGGGGAAGGAGACCCCAGGCAGCACATGAAGGGGCAAGGGCACCGCGGACACGGATGTGAGACGGGGAGCAGGGAGACAGCCCCGCTAGGAGGAATAACGAGGCGCCTCTGTGGGGAAGGGGGAGAGGAGAAAGCGAAGACCGTGTGCTAGTTCCACAGCATAGAATGCAAAGACCCACACACACCACGGCTGGCGGAAGACGGAACTTTACTCCATCTCACATAATGCTGCAGCCTTTCAGACCCAGGTGCCAGCTCCTTTACTCCTTACAGTTTCAGTTTGGACTCCATGGTCATAGGTAGGTCACTGCCACGTGAGCATTTCAACCCAGGAGAGGAGGGCAAAAGTGGAAGGAAAGGGCATTTCCCCGGCAAAGTGATCTGGGAATTGCATGCGTTGCTTCTGTCTGTATCTCTTTGGTAAAAAATTCAGCCACATCTAGCAGCAAGAGAGGCTGGGATATGAGTGGGCATTTACCCAGATAACGAAGTAAGGGGAGATGAACCTGAGGAACAATTAGCAGTCTGAGCCGGGCGTGGTGGTGCACACCTGTAATCCCAGCACTGGGGAGGCTGAGGCAGGAGGATCGTTGTGCGTTCGAGACCAGCTTGGGCTACGAAGTGAGCTCAAAGCCAGCCTGAGCTGCGTGGTGAAACCCTGTCTCAAAAAACAAAATAATAATAATAATAATAAAATAAAATAAAATAAAAATAAAGCAGTCTGTTGTACTTCCCAAAGAAATAAGCAGTGAAAGGAGGGAAACCATGTGTGCTACTGGACACCGAAGATCGCCGTGGCATCAAGTAGCACACACGGCTGAGACAAGGGTGCACAGCCCTGCGAATCACCCGTAGTTGGACCTACCTTTGTCACTAGTACCTTGATTACTGTTAGACAGGGCTCATTCCCTTCCAGTAACCGCAAAGAACCTAAAGAGCTTTCTAAACTCGGTGCCTTTTGGAGGTGATGAGAGTACTGGCTGAGACTGACTGAGGGCATTTGGAGTTCATACCGTATATTTTTCCTGCAATGAGAAAATTGCACAAAACCACAGAGTGACATCTGACCGGCAAATCACAGGTTGCTGGTCAACATCGTCACGGAGAGTGGTTAAGAGTAAATATACACAGTCTCTGAGCATAGCCGGGCTGACCTCAGCCTACCATGAGCTGGTCAGACAGGAACGACCGCTCCTGTCCTAAAGCCTTCATTACTAGTGGCAGACGGTATTGTCTTTGCTTGTTGACCTTAACATAGGCTGTACAGCACTGAACCTTCCTCCTTGAATGTGAACTCTTTAGCCTTTGTCTTTTGCCTCTGGGTAACAAGGGTCTCAAGCCAGGCATACACATCTTCTATAATTTGTGGTAATAGCTCAGAGTACAAACATGCAAGTTTGTACTCTGATACAAACATTATCTGAGTTCCCTTCTGTGTGCCAGACTGTCTCCCCTGTACTGGTCAGGCAGAAAAGGCCAGGGCAGACAGCAGGACTAACGTGCAAAATCTAAGGGACACCATTCATAAGGAGTCTGTGTGAACTCTTAATGTCATATATTGGCCAATTTGCATGGTGGCATATGACCGGCAAGAGATATTTTCTCTTATTGTTAAGATTCACCTGAGGGCTGGAGATATAGTTCAGTGGCACAGCACCTGCCTTGCAAGTGCAAGGTCGTGAGTTCGATTCGCAGTACCAAAAAAAAAAAGAAAGAAAAAGATTCACCTGAGTTCTACTATCACCTAAACTGGTAACATGGGAATAAAAAAGGCTGCATCCTTTATGTAACAGGACACCAAGGAAACATCCCATAGCCCCCCTCCCATTGATGGGGTTATTTTAGGGTGCTGTATTCTGCAAAGAATGGGGGAACTTCTTGAAGAGGCCAGGGAGGATTAAAAACAAAACACTCATATCTTGAGATATTGAAGGAGGTTCCTTTACTTGAGCTTACACTTAGGCACAATGCATACCCAAAGTTACAATAGGTGGGTTTACGTCTCCAGAGAGGAAATGACCTAATATTGCCTAACTTTGACTCCAGTTCAAAAAATAACTGAATATTTAATACCACTTCTCATATCTCAATTTTTATTTTTATGTATTTATTTTTGTCTTTTTGAGACAGGGTCTCGCTATGCAGTTCAGGCTGGCCTTGAGCTCACTTTGCAGCCCAGGCTGGTCTTGAACTTGCAACGATCCGCCTGTCTCAGCCTCCCGAGTGCTGGGATTTCAGGTGTGTACCACCACGTCCAGCTTCATACCTCAGTTTTTAAAAAACTGTCCATTTCCTGGAAGACTCAGAAAAAGAAAATATAATTCATTTATATTTGCTTACTATACTGCTACCAATTACCCTTTATCAGATTCCCTTTCACTTTAGGAAGGATACAATTTGTAAATATAATGAGCCACATTCATAGTCTATCTGTAGAAAATTGTCATTTCTTCCTGAGCACAGCACTGCTCCAAACACGGACATTTCAAAATGGAAAGGTTATATGTATACAGAAACTACTTCTCTAAAAACTGGTTTTCTTCCAATTAACATCACTTCTTTCCTTACCCAGGTACATTTTTTGAAAAGAACCCTCTGAAAAACTTCCAGCAGTTGGATTTGGCAGAAAATTATGTGAGCAGTGATGGATGGCTTGGCTTCATGGATGTATTTGCGAATCTTAAGCAATTAGTATTTTTTGACTTCAGTACTAAAGGTCTTTTACCTGACCCCACATTAGTCAGAAAACTTGGCCATGTATTATCCGAATTAACTTTTTTGCAAGAAGCTAGGCTTATTGGATGGCAATTTGATGATGATGATATCAGTGTTATTAAAGGTGCTTTTAAGCTAGTAACTGCTTAAATAAAAGATACCCTTAGCTAATGAGTATGTGGGGGCTCTTTATTTTCAGCATGATTTAGAAATCTTGGAAAAAGAAGACAAAGATGAGGAAGTGGAAGAGTTTAACCTGATGACCTGTGCAATAGTTAGGTGTCTCATCTCTCCAACTAGGATTATCAGCTCCTTGAAGGGACTCCTGTTCATCTTTGTGTCACCCTTGGCCCCAAGAACAGTAGGTCACAAAAACGATTATATTATATGCATATTTACTGGGTACAGTTCCTGGCATGTAACAGACTCAACAAATCTGCTAAATATAAATAAACCATCAATAAATAGCTATTGAATAAGCCAGGTGTGGTGATACATGCCTGTATTCCCAGCTACTCAGGAGGGTTGGGTAGGAAGATCACAGGTTCTACACCAGCCTGAGCAACTTAGTAAGAGCCTATCTCAAAATTCAAAAAGTTAAAAAGGAATTGGGATGTACTATAATTCAATGCTCCTGGTTTTAAATCCCAGTACTGCCAAAGCAAAACAAAACAAAACAAAAAAACAAAAAAACCATTGTGAAGAAGCAAACCAAAATTATCTAATGCTCTTTAATTGAAACAGTTTAATTCAAATGGTTGGGAATGTAAAAAGCACTTTCTCGTATTAGAAGCATATTGGACTTCCAGAGAAGACTGGCATTCTCAGTCAAGTAAAAACCGGCAGTGGGTAAGCAGGTAAATCAGAGGCTTGAGAGTCAGACCTTCGCCCAGCAGCCGAGACATTCACTGTATATAATGCCATCATGAAGCAAGGAAAATCCCATTCATTTGTTCCCTATAGAAGCAAAGGATACCCTGCCTTCACCTTTTCTCCACAATCTCCCAAAAGAATCATTCACAGAAAATCCTGAAAAAAAGCTCCCTAATCTAAACAGATTTAAATTGAGGGAAGTTTAGAAAAAACCCAAGAACCTGAATGGCGTTAGCTTGTGGTGCATCTTCTAGTCTCGTGGCACCTCCAAGTAATGGCTTAGCTGTTGGTGTAGGTAACACTTGGCCAGTGTGCTGAGGTAGTAATTGGAAATTTGGGGCAAATCTGTTTGGTAAGTGGGCACATATTCTACAGATTTAGTCATAAAATTTTACAGATCAACTAATTCTTTCCCCTCCCTAATTCACAGAGGAGAAAGCTCAGACATGTTAACTGGCTTGCTTGGGCATGATTACAAAACCACTTATATAACATCAGCCGAAGCATTGGGCCCCAATTATCTCCTAGTGCAGTGATTTTTCCATTACAATACAGTGATTTCTTCAAATAGAATTAGTCACACTCCATGCAGCTTGTTTGTAATGACAGGCCATGGGCCAAATTTCTCTTTCTCTTTCTTTCTTTCTTTTTTCTTTCTTTCTTTTTTTTTCTCTTTCTTTCTTTCTTTTCTTCCTTCCCTCCCTCCCTCCCTCCCTCCCTCCCTCTCTGTCTCTCTCTCTCTTTCTTTTCTTTTGCTTCAAAATAGTCTCTGGCAAGACTTACCAATAAGGCTGTTGCCAATAGTCCTCTGCTGGCCATGGTCATTATTTTTGTATCCAGAAGGTAGTCAGAGCTTGGCCAGCAAGACTTCTATGAAATAGTGCGCAGGTGAATGTTATCTGCAACATTTGGCACCACTGACTTTCAGCAAGCAGGACCAATTCCTTCCCAACCCACAGGCAAGTCTGAGTGTCCTTTCTCAAATAGGGCAGGTGAGCCTCAGAGCACCTTTGGCAGTGCAGCTGCACAGATGCTGCCTCTGAATGAGCGCTGAGGAAGCAGGCACAGAACCTGACATGGATCCCTGTTTGGTACCCAGTCACTTAAAAATCCCATGGGAAGACATGAGGAGACATACATGGGAAGGCAGCACACACCTCTTAATTATCACTCAGGACATGACAGTTCTTCAGATTTCATGCATGACCTCAATTCACATTTAGGTGAGGTCAACGGAGGGAAAATCACCTTGTAGTAGCAGATCAATAATAGGTACAGTAAATAGTTGGAAAACATAAGACAAAGGTCAAGAAACAGGTTGCCTTATTACAATTTACAAACTTTCATTTTCCCAGGGATCAAGGGACACATGGGCTGTGTTTCTTCAGCAGGTCAAATGCCCAAACTGGATTGCAGCTGTCAAAGACAATGATCAACTCTTCGCTAAGCAAAAGGTTTTCAGAATATGGTCATTTTTTTACCACAGATGATTACAATTTTGCTTCATACGGATGGCTTTTTTGATACTTGTTATTTCACTGTGAAAGAGGATTTGGAAGTGTCTCACTTATAAAAGAGGATAAGCTGACCAAAGAAACTGCTGCCAATGCTATAAAAACAAGTACCTTCTCTAGATAGTTGTTTGATGGCTGAAAAGTCACAGATCTCCAGAAGCAATGGATTCTAGGAAAGTTGAATCCATTTTCAAAATACTCCTTAAAAACCATAACTGTAGAATGCATGGTAAAGTAAAACAACACAAAACAAAAGAAGCTTCTTAAGTAATGTATGACTGCTGCTCATTACAGTTTTTGTGAATAATACTGGCCACGTTGGAAAGTCTTTAAAATCTGCCTTTGGAAAATGACCACAAAATAATTTACATGATTCTCACACTGTATCACATTAACAATTCACTATTTTTTGACAAAGCAAACAAAACATTAGAAACTGCCCACGGAGGCCTAACAATACTGTATACTGCAATTTACAGTCCATTATACTTTTGTAACATTATATAAAATATAGTTAAATTATGCAAATTTGAAAAGATATCAAATCCCATATTTTATATGGAATTCCATATATTTTGGTAATAAAATGAGAAATAAAACATCAACTAATTAAAACGTGATTTTAAAAAGCCTCACTCCACTATTATGAACATAGAAATCTGGGGTTGTTTCATTGCATTTCATCAAAGGTTTGGTATACATTTAACTAAATAAAACACTGTGAACCATGAACTATTTACAAATGTGTTGCCAGGTATGGTGGTCCAAGGCTGTACTCCTAGTACTTAGGAGGATGAAGCAGGAGGATCTCCATGAATTCAAGGCCAGCCTAGGCTATATAATTACTTTAAGGCCATCCTGAACTACGTAGTGAGACCCTGACTAAAACAACACCAGACTAAAACAACACCAACACCAACACCAACTCAACAACACCACCAAAAAAACCTTTAAATTGTTCTAGATAGTACAGTGTGTCTCAAAATTTCTGATAAAATTTTGCTTTTACTTTGCAAGACCTAATTCAGAGCTGGGTATGGTGGCGCCCGCCTATAATCCCAACACTTGGGAGGCTGAAGAAGGAGGATCACTGAGAATTGGAGGCCAGTCTGGGCTATGAAGTGAACTGAAGCCCAGCCTGAGCTGGACAGTGAGGCCCTGTCTCAAACAGCAACAATAACAATAACAACACAACAACAAAACGAAAACAAAATACAAAGGCATGCTTTAAGAGGAGCTCAAAAAAAAAAAATGTAGCAATTAAGTGGAAAAATTATAAGAGACTTTTACTTTAAAAGTTACATTGTTTTCCTTTCTTAAAATGTATATTGTTTGCAAAGCATGTTTATAAATTTCACTGAAAGAAATCAAGAGGCTCTCTTATAAAGGTAAGGTCTCATCAGCTGCAGGCAGTTACAAAACCAAAAATAGCAAAACTAAAATTTAGAGAAACAAACTTTCTAAAAGAAGCCTATTTAAAGTCTGTAACATCTGCAAGGATCTCACTGTCACAGAAACATTTTACAAAAATATAGTTTATAGGTTCCATGAAATGTGAACAAGCCCACTATTATCTAACATTTAGTGTAAATGACTGAACAGTCAATGCAAAGTTGGACTACTAAATAAATCGGAAGCCAAAGAGTCAATATCAAATAAGTTAGAGCACATCATGGTCTTGGTTGTCCAATTCTGTTGTTACTTCCGTATCTACTTGGTATATTTGTGAAACCAGTCCTGAATCCATGGGTTGCTCCAATCCCTGGAACTCTGAGTCCTTGATTCAACATGCTGCTATACGGTGTGTGTCCATGATTAAGACCAATACCATAAGGCCTTGTTTGTGTGTTTAGAAGAATAACTGGGCTCACGTTTTTTCCAGGGGTATTAAAAGAAAATTCTGGAGGTGGACTACTAGGCTTAGCTGGAGTCGATGTGACAGGGTTCAAATCATCAGTAGTCTTTAAAAGAGGCATTGGGATTATGTGATGGTCTGAAAAGTTTAGGACATTGGCTGTCACAGGGCCAGACACTAAGGCAGGCCTAATCCAATCATCCTTGAAAATCTGAACCGTCAGAGTAGACACAAGAGTATAAAGCCTGTTGGTGACATGAGCAAGAACCATTTGTTCATTTGCATCCCGTCGAATTCTTACATGCACTGATCCAGCCTAAGGGGCAAAATCACAAGAAAAGAAGTGTTTAGAATTATACTACTGAAAATTCCAGCAGAAGTAAACATGCTATGGGTAGTTTGGTCAGTACTTGGTATTTTATTCAAAGTAAGAGAAAGCTTAATGTCTTGCTACTTTTGAAAGACTATTTACTTACGATTATCAATATAAAAAGTCAACAAAATAGTCTTTATCCCTTTAAAAGATTAAAAAAGGAGAGAAGTTCATTGAGGAGAAAGATAGGAATACTGTAATGCAAAGCACAATAGAAGTGAAATATACAAAACTAAAATGGAAGGGCAGGAAAGATAGGCGTAAATGCCAACTGGAAAAGACTTCAAAAGAAGACTGCATATGATGTAGGGTTAATGATTAAATGGAATTGCAAACAGCACAGAAAGACATTCTATATTGAAACTATATGGCATGTTTGGTAAGAAGAATAATACTAATACATAAGGAAGAAAAAATATTTCAGGGGACAGAAGAATGAGAGAAAAGTAAGATATTAAGAAAGAGAAGAAGAGAAGGAAATAGGTAACAAGGTAAAGAAGACAGGCCAGGAGATGCGAAGTTCTGATTTAACAGCTGCATTCAGACAGAGGTAAAACAGTCTACTCTAGGAACGCAACTGTACTTCTGGGTGACTGGTGCCGAGGCAGGAAGTAACAGCGACAATCTAGGTTAGAAAGGAGGTTGCTGAGCGAGGACAAAAATTGCAGGCTAGCAGGGGAGCAAACGGGTTAGCCCTGTTCCAGGGGCAGAAATGGGATGGTGTGACGCCCACATGGAACTAACGGATGAAGGAGATGGACTAATCAGAAATGAGCCCGGGGTTCCCAGCCTACATACCCAGAGGGCAGAGCACACCAGGCATTTCAACGATGGTCAGAATGTTAGCGCCTTGGCAAGATGTTTACTATACATTATATATTTAAAGCAGAAAACAACATGTAAATACAGGAATGATCCTATTTTGATTAAAACACCCAACAACGAAAATAAAGTAAATTTTAAAAAAGCATACAACCCACACAAAGAAAAATATCAAGAATTACAGCAATTATTTCTGGATGGCAAAATTACTAAGGAGTTTTACTCAATTCATGACTTAGTTACAAATTATTTTCTAATAAGTGGGTACTATGTACTTAATAAAAATGAAAATTGTACAGTAAATAAAATGTCCACTTATGCTATTTTGTAAACGGACGTCTGTTTGTCAACGTTTTCCTTCTTTAATTTTTAAATTAAAAAAAAAATGTCCACACGTCATGTTGCTTTCTAAACTCAGATTTTGAAAATAAAAAAATTTATAACAAAACAGTAAGTGTATATAAATTAGCCAAAGAATTTACCTAATTACGATATATCTCAATGTATGACTTAGAAGGCCAAATATAGAGCTACTGTCATCATATGACAGCAAAAAAATCTGTATTCCATAGCCATGTTTAGGAACTGTCATCTTTGATTTTTCCCTTTTCTTTGACATGACCGCTTATACTTGACACTACAAAAAACTATGAAAGAGACAGTGTTCTCCTTCAGTTTGACATGGAAATCAGTGAAAACCATTTCTGAATATGAGTTTGAACAGTCTCCTATGAAGGTGATACATGTATTAAACTTAGGCTTAGGGGACATAAAAAGAATTAAGGTGTGTTACATACATGTACTAATACAAATAAAAATTTTAAAAAGTAAGGCTTTCATGACATCAACTTTTGGGAGCTCTAAAGCTTATTTTATTAATTTCCTAGATTTTATCCAGGGACTATACAGGTATGGTTTCTAGATAATCAAATTCTGAATAGCTGAGATGACTGTACTTTTTATCTTTATAAGCCATCGAGCTTAAGAAATGCTATCTACTTACTTATTACTACTATTGGTACAATTAAAAAATGGTTAAAAACTAACTACACTGGGGGAATATAAATCAGTATAACACTGTGGAAAGCAATCTGGCAGTTTATATCAAAAGCCATAAAAATGTGATTGTTTTTGACTCTCAAAAATCACTTTTAAAAGTAAATCTTCAAGAATAACCATGGAATCTAGGTGTGGTGGTGCATGCTTGTAATCCCAGCACTCAGGAGGCTGAGGCAGGAGGATTGTTGTAAGTTCGCGACTAGCCTGGGCTACAAAGTGAGCTCAGGGCCAGTCTGAACTTCATAGGGAGACCCTGTCTCAAAAAGACAAAAAGAAAAAAAAATTATGGAGCTGGGCATGGTCACACATAGCTATAATCTCAGCACTCAGGAGACTGAGTCAGAAAGACTGCCACAAGTATGAGGCCAGCCTGGGCTATACAGTGAGTTTAAGGCCAGCCTGAACTACAAAGCGAGACCCTGTCTCCAAAAAACCTTAAAATTCTATAGCCCTTAAAATTATGCTGGGCTTGCCAGGTGTGGTGGCACACGCCTGTAATCCCAACGCTCGGGAGGCTGAAGCAGGAGGGTCGTAGCAAGTTTGAGACCAGCCCGGGCTACAAAGTGAGCTCAAGGCCAGCCTGAACTGCATAGTGAGACCCTGTCTCAAAAAGACAAAAAAAAAAGAAAAAAAAAGAAAAAAAGACCAAAAACAAAAACAAAAATCAGGCTGGGGTTCTTGGAAGATATAGCAGTTTTTGAAATGCACAAATACCCTCAAAAAACAAAGACAGCGACGTTGAAAATTTATGAATAACATAAAAAAAAGGAAAACTAAGCAAAGTAGTATTCCACTGTAATTCTAGATATAAGCTATAAAACTTGCATGGTATCAGAACCTGTGAAGGAGAAAGCAGGAAACAACAGGACATCTGATCTAAAAACCCAACAGCAGTTAACTGGTACTTAATGAAATCCAGGCCAGCCCACGGGAGAAGGCAGCTGAAGCCAGGAGGGGCACACATATCTTATTGGCGGGTGAGCCACTGGGTGTGCGATGTGATGAAGTCTGGAGGGTCTCAAAAGCAAGCAGAGGGGGTGGGGATTTAGCTCAGCGGCATAGCGCCTGCCTGGCAAGCGCGAGGTTGTGAGTTTGATTCCCGGTACTAGAAAAAAAAAAAAAAGCAAGCAGGTAAAACTACATTATAGGACAAAGCCCCACACTAAGAAGAAAAAAACCGGGAAAAGAACCCAAATTGAGCAGCACAACAGAGACACAGGATAGAGAAGGTTCACTCAGATAAAGAGGAACACAGAAGGAAAAACTTTCACTTCATGAAATCATTAGAAGGCGCTCTCAAACTACGAATTTATACATATGACTATAAATCAGTCTTAACTTTAAGCTCAAGAAAACTAACTTCACTTAAAAATGAGCATAAGAAAAGGACCAAAGGCAAATCTCACATGAAATTACTACAAGAAAAAAATAGAGAGTGTAAGATTATCACAAGAACATAAGTACAAAATAGATAAAAATTATAAACTTTTTTCAGAAACAAGTCAAAACACATGAAACAAGAATGTAAATTATAACTAGAAAATCACAAAAAGTAAACAGACAAGTCATAGAAATGAGACAATGAAAATGCAAAAAAAAATCACTTTAGTAATGAAGATTATAACAGGAATACAAAAGCAAATAAACATAATTATACCTTAAGAAAAATAAAAGCTAAAAGCAAACATTTAAAATTCAAAAGAGAAATGTGGTGGCACATGCCTGTAAGCCTGTAATCCCAGTGCTCGGGAGGCTGAGGCAGGAGGACTGTTGCGAGTTCGAGGCCAGCCTGGGCTACAAAGTGAGCTCAAGGCCAGCCTGAACTGCATAGCGAGACCCTGTCTCAAAACACACACACACACACACAAAGTAATAAAGATTGAGAAAATAACAAATCTGAAAGACAAGGGCCAGGGGTGTAGCTCAGTGGTACAGCACCTGCCTGGCAAACACGAGGTCCTGAGTTCCATTCCCCAGTACCTCCCCCAACAGACAATGAATGATAAAGATCCAACACACATATAGCATGTGTTCCCGAAGTAAGAGAACAAAATAAATATTAGGAACTATAATAAAAGACATTCCTGAGTATTTTTAAAATTTATTTTTGAAACAACATAACTGAAATAACTGACCCAGAATAGCCAACAGCAAGATTTTTTTTTTCTAATGTTGAGAATTGAAGCCAGGATCTCAGGGCACACTAAACATGTGTTCTACTACTGAGCTGTACTCTCAGCCCCTTTAAAGAAAAAAAATGTTTTGGGTTTCCAGGCAAAAAGCTAAAATTACATAAAAGGGAAAAGAAGTCAGAGTGTTATTAGGCTTTGTCACATCAATGTTTTAAGCTAGAGTTATATGGAGTAATATATTAGAGAGACTAGGCCGGGCGTGGTGGCGCATGCCTGTAATCCCAGCACTCGGGAGGCTGAGGCAGGAGGATTGTTGGGAGTTTGAGGCCAGCCTGGGCTACAAAGTGAGCTCAAAGCCAGCCTGAACTACATAGCGAAACCCAGTCTCAAAAAAGACCAAAAAATAAAAAAATAAAATATTAAAGAGACTCAAGAAAATAAAATATATAGATTTAAGATTTTTGTTTCACAGATATTTTTTCCTCAGCACTTTGAATGCATCACATCCTTCCACTACTGTCTGATTCCAGAAAATAAAATATATAATAAAGATTCTGAATACA